GTACCGCACAATAGGGCACACACATTGTGTTTAGTGATAAGGTCATCTAAGTTACTTACCAATAACTTAACTTCTCTAATGGTATTATCTCCGCAGATTCTCACTCTTGGATTTGTATGGCAAAGAGTGTGACTGCAAGAGTGGAGATCTGTGAAGGCAATTCTACATAGGAGAAGAAGTGCTTTATAAAGGAATATTAAAGGAGGGACTCCTGAGGGTCTAGCTGAGATGAACCTTTGTGAAGGTAGTTCAATTTTGTGGCCAATCAACCATAACAATTTCCTTTAAACACTTCCAATTTGTTCCATATGTTTCCAAACAAGAAATAATATTTCTCTGCCCTGTCAGGCAGAGATTCACAATTCACTTCCCAGCAAGCTGAAGCAGGGTACAGTGAAGATATGGTGTGCTCAAATACTGAGCAGAGACAGTGACTTGTGTCACTCAACAGTTATTCCTCCAGATGAATAAGGAAAGGCACTGATAGATTTTGATAAAGTACCATCCAGTCTTTCTGGATGAAAGGACATTGGCCTTTAAAATACATCAAGGTGGGTTAAAGCTGAAAAAAATGGGGGAGATCCTCAATTATCCATCAGGTACAAGAAAAACTCCAGGGAAGGGAAACACAAAACATTTTATAACTGCTAGCAGATTTTCTTAGATCAACTGCTGACACTTTGAAAGCAGGCTTCACGTAGTGCCTACAGGAACTTGTAGCAGCCTGAACTTTGTGCGATAGAAGTTAGTCCTTATACATTGTACCTTAACGCCAGTGTCGTTACTTTTCTGGGATAATGTAAAAGGGTCACAAACGATCTTAAACAATAAGACCATGTGGGAATTATTCTCTTGTAGTGGTTCCAGTAACCATTAGTGTGGAAGAAAAAAAGTTGGAAGCAGAAGACCTACATGCCTGATGTTAAATAGAAGTTGAGTACATTGAAGAAATCATTCAAGAACAGCTTATTCATGTGAGAATGTGACCTATGTAATGCTGCCAAGGTCAGTGAGATATGCACTAGTCTGCTATATAAAGTGCTGTTCACACAAAATAACTAAGTTGATGTCCATTGCAAAACCATTTTTGCCAAGTGATTTTAAAAAAGATTATATGAATGCCATCCTTCCTACCACCTTGGAACATATCTCAACACCTTCTTTGTGTACCTGGCAAGTTTCCCTAGACAGATACACAGCACTGTTTCCAAGAGAGAACGCCGTTGCTGAGTAATTTAAATGAGAAAGTTTTATTATGGCATTTTTCATTTCAATTACAGTGCACTACAATCTGAAATATGTACGTCATGCTGAAAGTGACATCAGAACACGACTCAATGCCTAAGAAGAACATAATTTACCATTAACATTCACCATAGAGTTGAGTTATGTAGAAAGTAAAGGACAAGATCAAATATTAATATTTATGAATTCACTTTGTAGATACATTTTCAGTTTGAGAGATGTTTTCTATAGTGTGGTAATCATTAGAGCTGTATAAAGAAAAATAATTAATAATAATGTATTTGAAGAGAGCTCTAACTAAAAGTTTCATATTTGTGGGTCTAAAGTTAGACACCTACATCTATATTTAGGCATTAAATAAATAAATGGCCTAATTTTCAGAGGGTCTGAGCAACCCAAACTCCCATTAGCTTTAGTGAGGGTGCAGATACTCAGCCTTCTGAAAATCAAGTCACTAATTCAGGTGCCAAAGCATAGATATACATGCCCAACCATGTTTCAACATTGTGATCTATACTTCCATAATGTTATCATAGTCACTGATTTTATATAGTTTTGCACACACAAAAATTCATTGTACTAGCTGTAAAAAAGAAAAGATAACAAGGCATAAAATTATCATCCATTGACTCCAATCTCAGTCTTCTGTTTATTAAACTAGTAAGTCGTGGGAGTACAAAAGCAGCAACAGCAAACCCGAAGGTAATGTCTTGCATATTGCTCAGCAGTTAAACTGTTTTGACTGATTAAGGAAAGGTTTAGTGGGCTCTGGAAAGAATCCCACCAAATCCTCTTTAGCTGAATGGACGGTAGGAGTGGTTCAGGATAGTACTGACGGGGAAAAAATTTGTGTGTATTTGTGTATGCACACGGGTACATGTGTGTTTAAATGGGGGGGGGAACAAAAGCATACAGTTCAACATTACTTACTTTCATAGTGAATCTTGAATCCATTATTAGAACGACTGTTGTCTGTTGTAAAGAGAAGGTAAATGAAATTGCTGCTACTGAACAGAAACTGTGGGACCTGTGTACCATTGTAAGAACCCAGAAGTGGAGACAGGAGATTTGGTCCATCGTGAACTTCCAAAACATCATAATTGAGTTCAGTCTGAAATCTAGGGTTGAGAAAACATACACACACACACACACAAATATATATATACACATACAGACATATACATAAAATAGTTGTATTAGAATTACATTGATGTAAACATAATCAACATTTCAGATTTTAAATCTTATTCAAATTAAAAGTAACATGTATGTAAATGCTGAGGATTAACAAACCTAATGTAAATTAATAGTATTATTTCAACAGTAGTATTCAAGGTGCCAGGAACATACTTTACCAAGGATTCATGCCTCTCAAGGAGGATGTGATGGGCTAAAATTGTGCCATCAACTCCAGCTAGTCAATAATCTCTCAGAAATAGTCTGTGCCTCATTTTTTATTGTCATTATAAGGCGAAAATTCAATCAACATTATATGATATGTACAAGAGATTCTTTTTATGAGTGAAGCAGCAAGAATTGATTCATATAGAGTATCTCTATGGATTTAATTCCCTGAACATTATCCAAACAGATCATTTGAATCACTTCTTAACATAACATCCAATGTACAATATTATTAACAATACAACTCGGGTGTGTTTTCTAATAAGAAGAGAGGCTTACACACAATTTAAGTGTCTTCAAAATATTGTGCAGAAAGGCCTAAAGTTTCAAAACTGGGTGCCTAAAATTGGAGTCCTACAATGAGTAGATACCTAAATAAACAGCTGATTTGAAAAGGTGCTGAGTCACTGCAAAACCCCTTGACTTTCATGGGACTAGTGGGTACCCTGCACTTCTGAAACAGAGCCGCATTTATTTAGGTGGCTTAAATATGGAATTAGGAACCCAACTTAAGTCATCCTTGTCTATAAATTTTGGTTCAATTAACATCATGGGGGAAAAAATCAACCCTATGGGTTTGTTGGAAAATATTATTTTATAATATTTACAACATTAATTCCCAAAGTCATTAGAACAATTTGTATTCAATTTACTGAGAAAAGCAACAAAAGAGATATGGCAATGCTTTCTTCTGCTGTGTAATGTCTTATTCTATAAGGCACAAACAATATGAAAGTGCTCTTTACTTTAACAGAATCCTAATACGAATTTTTATTGTTACAGCCTGTAAGTAAGGTCTAGAGAGCTAGATGACAGTGCCTCAGTTAAGGCTTAATTGAGACAAGACAGAAGTGATGGTAAATAAGGGAACATGTATATATCATTGCAAGGGGTGGTTTCTACTCTTGTTCTTGAGGGATATATGTTAACATTTGTCAAGGAAGAGCAGTGTGTCTGCATACCATATTACTCTTGAAGTCTCAGATGCCATCAGTGGCCCAAAGCATCTTTTTTACATCTGCATTTGACTGGTTGATTGAGATCTGTCTCTCCAATGTGAATATTGCAATTTACAGACTCTCAAGTGTATTGCAATGCACTCTATATTGATTGACATAAAAGGTCAGCAGCCATCAAAAATTACTACACTACTGAATCTGAGATTCCAGTTATTCCCTAAGCATGGAGAAATACTTGCCTAACCAGTTGTAATGGTAACTGTTAATAACTGTTGTGCTGTACAACATGTACAGATGCCAAAGTCCAAAGAGCCAGGGAGATGATTCATTGAAACAGGCTACACACCCTACAATCCTCCCCGGCATACAATGGGAGAAGGAGGTTCTATGATGGGCTGCTTGGAAAACATAATCACAGAAAAAGATGAAGGAATGGAGCTGAGCTGCCTGGAGAACTTAGCGGGGGTTAAAACTCACGGTTGAAAATAATTATGGAGGAATTTTACACCAAAGAATATTTTCAACTATGAGTCGTTCCTGTGTATGTTTGTGAGGCAGTGGAGAGTGGGAATGAACGATATTTCATGGAAATAGAATAAATTAGCATTGCCACAGAATTTAGAGGTTAGTGCTGCAGAGTTTAGGAGTCACTGGCATGGCACTTGGTCCCATTGTGTCGTGGAGTACCTGGGGTCCCATGCATAGGTCTGCCCTAAAGGGCTAGTGAGCTAGTGCAGATATGGTTCCTTATAATATAAAACACCTGCTCTCTAGAGGCCACACTAGCTTCTTACTTGATTTTGGGTTTTGATTCTGATCTGTAAAGCCCTAATACCAGAAATCACACCTCAAGCAGGCATCTCCAGTTCCCTTCTCCCTAGCCACACATACAGCAAGGCAAAGGAAAAAAATCTCTGTAGAGCCCCCTGCCTGGGTTTCTTTTCTTCTCCACAGAGAAACTATCAGGTAAGCATGAGAGCAAAATTGAACGTCCAGAAGAAGAAAGAATGTAACTAAAATACATTAGTATTTTACATTAGAGGGAGGGATGCCTGTGTGACAAGGATGGGAAGTATGTGAAAGAGGGAATGTCTATGGGGTTTTTGTTTGAAAGTTTCAGGCAGGTGAAGGGATAACTTTGCATTTGCGCTTGGAGGGCACAATCACATATTGATGGTAATTTTTCTTCACCACCCACATCCTGACTTCTTGGCACACCCCCATATTCCCTTGCTTGTTACTTTCCTATCTGAGAAAGAGTTTGGGGACTGACAGGAAAGTCAGCCAAGCCAGCCAAAACCCCCTTTGTGCTCCTGGTAGAGTCCTCTCTAATAGCTCCTTCCTAATCCTTCAAAAAAGACATTTCCCAAAACATTAAACCTCCCAGAAATTAAGCAGTGTCCTAATAGTTAATCTGAAAAACCTGTGTTGCTACTGGGCCTAGTTTTATTGAAGACTCATAACATCCCATAAGCCATTCTGTGGGAGTCCAACACATTTAAACAAAGAAAACAAACCTCATTTCTAATCTCATTTTTTCAGAGGTAGCAAGCATTTCAGCTACCCAAACAAAAATAAATCGAATCAATCAAACATTAAACTATATGTACGTTCACAACATGTAGCCTTATTTTTAAGAGACAGCCTATCAAATCAATGCAATCTCAGGATTTGAGCACTATGTCCAGGCAAACACTGAATAATCTCATTAGTCAGATATGTTTGGTATGCTGATCAGCAGTGAGATGATTAGCAGCACTGGCATTTAAATTGTCATAATTAGGCTTCAATATTAATGCCACAAGATGAAGAGTGGCAATTCACATTTCTCACTGCTATTCTTTCCAGTCAGTCTGTCTAGGTGCAGACCCAAAAAAACCCCAACATATCTCATTGTCACAGCTATCACTGTCACCAGAAGGAGTAGAATCTTTAGAGACCAGAAATTCATAAGAACACAACAAAATATGAAATAAATCTACTGGGACACCTAAAACCAGAAAATTAATGGATTTTCCATGTCTGCAAATGTCTCTTTTTTCTAGTTTTTACCAAGATATTTATGCCATGATATTTGGAGACAGAAGCATTTTGGGGTACAGCTACAAGGCTATCAGACTTGCTGAGTCCTATAGATCTTCAAAGTCACAGGGGAAGGAGAAACCGTAGGAAGAGGAATGAATTCAGAATGACATGGAGTGAGAATGGAAACCATTGTGCAAGTGACAAGCTGAAAAGCTGAAAGGTTAAGGTGGCTTATTTTTGCAGGAAATATGTATTGCCAAGCAGTGCCTTCCCATGTAGAAGATGCAAACTAGAGGGCACTAACGATTTTAGACCCCCTAAATAAAACCATATATATATTTGCTCCTCTCATAAAGCCATAAGAACCCATAACTAATATCTTTAAATATTACACCAATGAATGTTTAGAGCAATGTGTCTCTCTCTGAACACAGAACTGAAATGCAAAGATTTGCATAAAATATATAAAGTTGTAGAAAATGTTGTAAAATGGTGGGAAATATCATGACTGTATATTTAACAAAATTAGGATCACAAGAAACTAAGCTGCAGGCTTCTTGGTTTCCTCACTGAAGAGAGTGATACAACCAATACCACAAGTGAAGGGAAGGAAAATAGGAGGTCAGATTGGGATAGGACATTTTTTTTCCCAAATTCCAAAAACTCTTTCAGGATGGGAAATCCATTTCCTCCCTAGTTCTAATGAGTAGTCCCTTAGTTACACAAATGATCCCATTGCTTTATTTTAAATAAAGATGACCTTGGTGGATTATTTGCATGAACAAGGAATAATCACAAGTAAAAATATAAAATTGGACCTACATTAAAAAAGCTGGCAAAGGGAAGTGCATTGTAATGTTCTTTTCACCAGCATAAATAAAAAATGACTATTATATTTTTTTCTCCTAAAACCGACTTCTGAAACAAGCCCAAACCTGGGAAATTTCAGTAAAATATATTTGTGGTTTAAAAAAAAAAGAATAAGTAAATAACCTTATCTACAGCATCACAATGGCAAATCAATCATGGCAGATGACTCTAAAAAGTCCTCTCACTTAAATGAAATAAAATCAGCAGAGAAGAATTGATAGAGTTTACTGTATTTGGTAAGTAATTGCATTCTAACTTTATTTACCTGTATTTTAATTAGTATTAAATCAGTATGATCACTAAAACTCCAGTACTTCAAACACTTAGGCCTGGTCTACACTACGAGTTTAGTTCGAATTTAGCAGCGTTAAATCGAATTAACCCTGCACCCGTCCACACAACGAAGCCATTTACTTCGACATAAAGGGCTCTTAAAATTGATTTCTGTACTCCTCCCTGACGAGGGAAGTAGCGCCAAAATCAACATTGCCATTTCGAATTAGGGTTAGTGTGGCCGCAATTGGACGGTATTGGCCTCCGGGAGCTATCCCACAGTGCACCATTGTGACCGCTCTGGACAGCAATCTGAACTCGGATGCACTGGCCAGGTAGACAGGAAAAGCCCCGCGAACTTTTGATTTTCATTTCCTGTTTGCCCAGCGTGGAGCGTTGATCAGCACAGGTGACCATGCAGAGCTTATCAGCACAGCCAGAATCCAAAAAGAGCTCCAGCATGGACCGTACGGGAGATACTGAATCTGATCTCTGTATGGGGAGATGAATCTGTTCTATCAGAACTCCGTTCCAAAAGACAAAATGCCAAAACATTTGAAAAATTCTCCAAGGCCATGATGGACAGAGGCCACATGGACTCAACACAGTGCTGTGTGAAACTTAAGGAGCTGAGACAAGAGTACCAGAAAGCCAAAGAATCAAATGGAAGCTCACGGAGGGAGGGGCGACTGACGACTGTAGCTATCCCAAAGTTCCCGCACTCTCTGAAAACCATTTGAATTCTGGGTTGAGCTCCCAATGCCTGAAGGGTCAAAAACATTGTCGCGGGTGGTTCAGGGTGTATGTCGTCAGCCCCCCGCCCCGTGAAAGCAAAGGGAAAAAATTGTTTCTCGCCTTTTTTCACTGTCACCGTATGTCTACTGGATGCTGCTGGCAGACGCGGTGCTGCAGCGCTACACAGCAGCATCCCCTTGCCTTGCGGACGGCAGACGGTGCACTATGACTGGTAACCGTCATCGTCGTCCCGTGGGTGCTCCTGGCTGGCCTCGGTGAGGTCGGTCAGGGGCACCTGGGCAGACATGGGTGCTCCTGGCTGGCCTTGGTGAGGTCGGTCGGGGGCGCCTGGACAAAAAAGGGAATGACTCCAGGTCATTCTCTTCTTTAAGTTTTGTGTAATGGAGATTCCTGCCTGGAATATCATGCCAGCTGGAGGCTTCTGCCTCAGGCTGCTCTCCCAGTCGGCAGCACCGAGCGGTTGCACATACCCCAGCGTACCCCTTGCTCCCAGGGCTCACAATCAGATACTTAGACCTCTACATTTTGCTGCAAATAAAAAAATAAAGCTGCCATTTAGAACTGTCCCCCAACATACATATTCTGGGACATTTTGTATTTTACCAGTGTCAACCAAAGGCCCCCACACAAATGGAGATTCAGTCCTGCCTGTGCTTCTATCCTAGTGCTTATCACAGATTCCCATTTTCAGCTATCGGCTGAGCAAGTGCAGAATGGTGGTCCACTCGACTTCGCTGTAAGCCAACCGCACTCCCCTCCCCTTTGATCTCTGTTTGCAGAGGCAATAAAGTCAGTGTTGTTTCAAATTCATGCATTCTTTATTACTTCATCACACAAATGGGGGATAACTGCCAAGGTAGCCTGGGAGGGGTGGGGGAGGAGGGAAGCAACGGGTGGGGTTGTTGTAGGGGCACCCCCTAGAATGCCAATGCAGCTCATCATTTCTGCGGGATGTCCGGGGCTCTGACCCGGAGTGGCTGTTTGCCTCTCTGGTTCTTTAGTAGGCTTGCCTGATATTCTAGGCAGGACTGACTCTCCATTAGACAAAACTTAAAGAAGAGAATGACCTGGTGAGTCATTCCCATTTTTGTCCAGGCGCCCCTGACCGACCTCACCAAGGCCAGCCAGGAGCACCCATGTCTGCCCAGGCGCCCCTGACCGACCTTACCGAGGCCAGCCAGGAGCACCCACGGGACGACGATGATGGTTACCAGTCATACTGCACTGTCTGCCGTCCGCAAGGCAAGGCAAGGAGATGCTGCTGTGTAGCGCTGCAGCACGCGTCTGCCAGCAGCATCCAGTAGACATACGGTGACAGTGAAAAAAGGCTGAACGGGCTCCATGGTTGCCAGGCTATGGCATCTGCCCGGGCAATCCAGGGAAAAAAGGCACGAAATAATTGTCTGCCGTTGCTTTCACGGAGGGAGGATTGACTGACGACATTTACCCATAACCACCCGCGACAAATTTTTGGCCCCATCAGGCATTGGGATCTCAACCCAGAATTCCAATGGGCGGGGGAGACTGCGGGAACTATGGGATAGCTATGGGATAGCTACCCACAGTGCATCGCTCCGGAAGTTGACGCTAGCCTCGGTACATGGACGCACACCACCGAATTAATGTGCTTAGTGTGGCCGCATGCACTCGACTTTATACAAGCGGTTGCCAAAAATCAAATTCTGTAAATTCGGAGTAATCCCATAGTGTAGACATACCCTTACTCATGTTCTTGACTTAAGCATGCGTGCAGTCTCAGTGAAGTTAGAGAACTGCTCACTTGTTTAAATTAAGGAAGTGTGTAAGTTTTTGCAGTAACTATGGACGCTTACACTCAATTTTTTTCTTCTTCAAGTGACATATCCAATACACTTTGGTTTAGAACACTACAAATAATGTTAGACTTTAAGGTTTTAAGCAGATTTCTCCACTGACTGCAATGGCAAGTTCTGCCAAAAAAAAAGAGAAAGAAAAAGAAAAAAGAGTGGTTCAGTATGGCCCCAGATATAAAGTGTTCTTATGTACATTACTCAGATTAAACAAATTGCTTGCCATTATATGATACTAAGCACAGGCTTAATTCACAAAGAAAGTAAGGCAAGCTCAGAGTCACCAGACATAATTTTTTAGATGCTTAGAAAATCTGCGGGATTTACAAAATTTAAGTCTGGCATCTAGACACCCTATACAATGAATGGGGAGAGATAGGCACCTTAGACCGGGATTCACAAAAGCCAGCATGCTAGGCAGCTCCTTGCCTAAACTAGTCTATAGACAATGCAAAGCTGACAATCGTGTGCTAAGCCTCACACCTCTCTAAGAGATAGGGAGCTCCCTACACTTGGGATTCTCAGCTGCAAATTCTCTCTTGGTGTTAAACACCTATTTTTAGTCCAGTGGTTAGTGTACCTGGGATGTGTGAGGCCCCACTTCACATCAATCTTCCATTTAAGAATAGATTTGAACTGGCATCTGCCACCCCTCAGATGAGGGCCCTAGTCACTGGGCTATAGGATATTCTGATTGTGGGCGGGGGGAGGCTCCCTCAGTCTCTCCTGCTGAAACTGTTCCATTGTGGATAAATACTTTTTTAAAACTGGATCAGGAACCCTCACTCCTAGGTATCCCACTACAGTGCTCTAAGCACCAGGCTACATTATCATTCTTCTGCTTGCTCTCTCAGGCCTAATGTTGAAACTCTTCCACTGTGACTAAATTAATGAAAATTATCATTCGGAAAAAGAAAGAGTGAGAGAGAAAGTGAACATGCATATATGATGACTTTGTAACCTGGTGGTTAGACCAGTCACCTGGGAGGTGGAAAACTCAAGATTCAATCCCAGTGCTTTGTTGTTGTTTTTTTAATTAATTATCCACAGTGGAACAGCTTGAACTCATTTGAGAGGTTCAAGTTCAAATGCTTTCTTCTCTCTGGTGGAGGGAGGACTGGAACTTGGGGTCTCCCAAATCCCAGGTGAGTACCATTACCACCACTAGCCTAAAAGTTAGGAAGGAGTCATCCTTCCCTTCCCCCAGCACCTGCCATTTTATGAAAGCCCATCTACAGGGGCCTGATCCAATAGGCAAGTTCTCAACACACTTACTGGATCAGGCCCCACAAACAAGTTAGGTAGAGGAACACCTATCTTCTTCAGTTCTTCATGTCTCTGAGGCTTAGGCATCCAGACACCTGCCATGGGGCTGCAGTGCATGTGGTCAGAGGCAGGAACATAGGGAGCTAGGGCATTTTTACTGCAAAAATTTAGGGGCACTGCAATTTTAGGTGCCTGCAAGGTTTGGAGATAGCTAAGCAGGGGTCTTGTGAGTCCCAATGGTGCCTTATTGTGGGATTAGATGGCTAAAGTGGCAGTTAGGGGCCTAAATCTTTTTGTGACTCCAGCCCCATGTATTTTAATTGGATGGCCAAGATGTATCATGTAAATCATCATAAAACTATTTACAGGATATTTGTGCCTTATAAATTCAAACGTTCCCACAAATTGTTCTTTATTATCAGCTTACCAGTTAGGTTATTTAAGATTAATATTTACAGAAAGAGTATAGCACCCACTTGCAGAGTCCACACCAATTTCACAAAATGTAGTAGAGCTAATGGTATTTTTTGTGAATTAAAGCTTATTTTTGCTTTATTTTAATGCATTTTTTTACAAAAGGCAGCAACAATTTACAAGCAGCTTCTTTTCCTCTTGTGGGAAGAGGATGGAAGCAATGGATGTAAAGTACTAGCTCTGCTTTTCCCACCTGTCAACATGTGGAATTCCATGTTCCTCAGAGGGCTATATCTCTGGGATCTGGGAGAACCAGTAATGCAGAAGGAACTGACCTCTGTGTGGGAGCACGGAAATCCACTCACAGAGGTATCTTCTGTGCACGGATACATGATTATCTGACCTAGTAGTTTTATTTATGATTATCACAGTGGGGGAAATCCTGTCCCCGCTGAGTTCAGAGGAATCAGGATTTCACCCTGGATCTTGATTAGAAAGTTTAGAAACTGAAAACCTAAAGGTTGGGCTCATATTCAGACATGAAATAGGTTCTTTGGTTTGAAAAGTGTTGTATTTCAGCATGATATTCTTCTTTTGAGGGAAGTAATTATGTAAAATTTTAAATTATTTTGCTAATAAATAATTTATAAGTTCTACACTCAGGCTTCCTTAAGGTTTTCCTTATTAAACAGACCTCTGGTATGGCAGAGTCCAACTTCTTCATACCAATACTGTCAAGCAACAACAATATCATTTTAGATCAAATTTAACAGGGGACCCATGAACGCAGACTTTGCTTGATGTGTATCCCATTACAGGATCAGTATTTTAGAAACAATTAAACCATAACTGGAGGCATTTTACTATATAAATAAAACAAAATTAATAAAACATCCCTATAAAATAAAAGGTCCTGCATGCATAGCTCAACAGTAGTAACATGTTACAGCAAAAAAATAACATTTTTAGATACATGAAAAGTTTAAATTGGGGCAGACAGGCTAAAATTAACAACAAAAAGAGGGATTTCCAAAAGGTGTGCAGTGACTGAGGAGCACAATTCCCATTAAAAGCCAAGTGAATTTATGCTCTAAAGGCACTTTGTTGCTTTTGGAAATCCCACCCAATAAGGCAAAATTCCCAAGTACTGCAATCAAACTGTAAATGAACTTTATGACACAGTAAATAACTCCTGGTTATGGGGAAAAATATATCAAATAAGAAAAACATTTGTCAAGACCTTTCAAATGTAATTTTGATAGAGTGTCCTGGTTCAGCTTCAATCACCCACTCACAATTCAAGGAGTCTTTATAGTACCCAGGCCAGCCTGGAGAGAGGATTACTCCACTGGGAGACGAAAAATGCCCACCACATGGAGCTAAAAACAAAATGATAGAAAGAATAGAATAATGGAGATTTTACAGGTTGTAGATTAACATCATCACCATTATTAAAACACAATGCACACTGCTTTCTAAAGTTATTATTATAATAGCAAGATGTTTAAGGTTCCCCACCCCCCGCAATATCCTAGGCCCCAAGACTACAGTGAACTTTGTAAGGCACGTGGGGCCACCCACACAGAGCTCAAAGCCTAAAAAAGCAAAATCAGATATGTGCTGTAAACATTGACAATGATTATTACATTTTAGTATAATAAATACAATCTATCATCCTATAGACAAGAACAGAAAATCAGAAAGCACTACTTGTAAATATATCTTATTAGCTAGACCTTATTAATATAACTATAGATTTTGAAAAGGATATAGAGAAGCTTGGATTTAGTCTTTAAAATATCTGATCTGGACATGGTAGGACCTGCTGAATATCAATTCCAGCTGACACTTGACCTGCTGTGAAACTTGAGCAAGTCACTTGATTTTTCTGTGGAGCTAATTCCCCATGTGTAAAAGGGGGATACTTACCAACCTCATGGGGATGTTATAAAGAGTAGCTAAGGATTTGTAAAGCATTTTGTACATGTAAATATAAGTATTATTATTCTCAGATACAACTGAGTGCATGTGGTTTAAGAAAAAAAAGCTACATTAGAATCAACATAATTCAAATTGAGAGTTTATAATTAAGGCTTTACAGTGGCTTGATGACATTTCAATCATGGCAATAATCTAGCTATTAATTATAAAGTTTAAATTACAGTTCACCATAGTTACCGAACAAATGTCCATGAGTAGCACATATAAAAACAGTAATATTAATTAACAATCGGGGTCAATCTTCAAAAAGGAACTTCCAAGGCTGACAGAACATTGAATTATATCATCATCTTTGATTCCACAGATGTGAACGCTACTTCCTAACCCCATTTTAAGTCTATGAAATGCTACAGCAGTGGAAATCACAGTGCTAATTCTGTTAGGCATGTTATGGCGGCTCTCTTCCTATGACAGGAGCTAGGTACCTCCAACATCTTAGCACAGCAGTGAGCTTTATTAGCTAGTCAGAGAAAAAAATATAAAGAGGCTATGCTAAAAATCTCCAGTGCTTTTCTGGCCCAGAGTTCCATTCTCGCAATCAACCAGAGAAAAGGAGGAGAAAAGAAGCTAGACAGCTATGAATGGCCAGTGCTCCTTGGAAAAATAAACATTACACAGAATGTTCATATACTTCTTATAGTGACGCCTTATGGTTCTGAAATGACTGTAATTGTGGTGTTTACCCATAACTAGATCAGGAAGAAACAAAATATCATACAAGAAAGGCAGCTTTTAAGATTTTTTTCCCCAACCATCACTGGAAGCAGATGTGCCAGAAATGTCCCTAGAACAGTGGTCCCCAAACTATGGGGCGCACCTCCCTAGGGGGCACAGAGGAAGATTTGGGGGGAGCATGCAGTGGGACCTGGGCCAGCCCTCATGGGGACGGGGATGGAACGGCGCCCAGCCCCTCTCTGGCCCCAGCCCAGCTATGGCCCCAGCCGCAGCTCCGCTCAGCCCCCTGCTTCGGCCCAAGCAACAGCTTCGATCCACTCCCTGCTCCACACCCAGCTCAGCTCTACCCCCATTCCCTCTCTGCCCCCAGGCCAGCTCTGCCTCTAGCCCCAGCTCCTCCCCCATCTCTAGTTCGTCCCCCAGCTGTGCCTTCAGTCCAAGCTCCTCTGCTGAGCCAACTGTGCAGTAATGGAGGGTAGGCATGGACAGATTCCATTACTGGGAAGGGCGGGCATGACAGGAGAAGTTTGGGAACCACTGTCCTAGAAAGTCTGTTCAGTTTCAGAGAATTCAAAGATTCATCTGCTTTATGCATCTGATACAAATCCAAAATCTTTGGTTACTTAATTGTCCAACCCTGATCTGTATACCTTCTGAGAGGCACTCATTACTACATGTGCTGCAAAAATCAAGTTTCTTTCCCTGACACCAAAATTAAAAAAGAATGATGGAAGGAATCTGTGGGAGAAAAAAAAACCCAGAGCAAGAAACAAATGCAGGAAGATCTCTCCACCTCACCAGTCCACTAGTATCGTAAAGGCCTTAAATGAGATCATCTTCCCCTATATACTTCTGGGGGGGGAAAACCACTGCTGCAGAGCTGCTTGCGTGCTTTTTTATTATTATTTGTTTTGTGGGAAGCTAATATTCTCTCTATATAGAAATTAATTCAGTGAAATTTCTAAAATCCTAGACAAGTTGTAATTCTATTACTAGCAATATTAACATTTTAGAAATAGATAAAAATAACTATGTCATTCCAGCACTTCAGAATGGGTACTGTAATGCTAGGACAGTTTATGAATTATATGCATATACAATGTGGTGAACCAAGCATGTATTATGCACCTGTTTTACCTTTTAGAAAAAATATTAATGAAGCAAAATATGACTTGCTCTGCAGAAAACATGGTCAAAGAGGCAACCGATCTCTAAGTATTTCTCTCCTTAAAGTAACAGGCTGAGATTTTTATTTTTCTTTATTATAATGCTGCATTTTCAAGGAAGTTATTTTAGTTCCTTACTCCAGGGATGAAATTTCTCTTACAGTGTTTGACTGAAAAGCTTGGTAGCCTTGAGTGAACCCAGCCACTGATTAGGTAGCACTTGCTGCAGGGTTGGGCCATTTTTTTTTCATTATTTTAAATTAAAATGGATTAACCAGAGGCCAAAGTACTGTACAAGTGGCTGGGAGCATGACAGTGTAGGCAGCTGTACCCAGTTCTTTGTTGTGTGTTGTTTTGCTGAGCAGTGATTTTATGACCTTTGAAGGGAGTTAAATCTAAGACCTCCTTGCTCGGAACCTGAGACCTTGAAAGGTAAAGGCCACTGCAGAGAAAATGGGGGCGAGGTGGGGAATAATAATGTAGGAGCAGATTGTCACTGGCCCTAACAGAGCTACACAGACATGTAACATCACCCAGTCCATGTGCAACCACATTAGAGCTACTTGTATTGCAGTTGTGAGTCCCCTCTGGAGTGTAGCCTTTGTCTTACTGCTGTTCCACCCACCCCATGTGATGCCCACCATGCCAGGGATTGACCGTATGAGGATTAGATTCACAAGAGGAATTATGTGTTGAAGCACCTAAATTTTTAGGCACTCTGCTGCCTACTGGAATTCAGAATCCTGAGTTAGATGTCCAGTCTCCCAATACAATGTATTGGGGGAATTAGGCATCTGAAAAAAAAAGATTCACATTGAGCAGAGAGTCACGTAAACTAGCCTACAGGAATATCAAGGAGAGAGATGTAGTCTAAGTGGAACTCCTCAAGGGAAGTTTGGTACCTAACTCCAGGTCTATGGTAGATGCCTATCTCTGCTCAGGATTAGCAGCCAAGAACCCACTCCTGGAGTTAGACGACTAAGCCAGGCCAGCCCTTTCTCATAAAACAAAACAAAACAAAGAAGGAGGTAACAATGGTGATGCCACCCTTGTATCCAGTCTCCCAGTGACTAGAGCACTCACCCAGAACTTTGGAGATCTTGATTCAAATCCCTCCTCTGCCTGATTCAGAGCAGGGACTTGAACCTGGGTTGGCAATATCCCAGCTAAGGGCTCTAATCATCTGCCTAATTAGGTATAAGGGAGGCACAACCAGTACCACCTTGCTGTGACGTGTGTTTTGTGAGGGGCTCAGTTCGGTAGGTGTGCTATTAGATGACCTGCATCCATTGGCCAGCATTCCCCAGCACCCAGGATTTACACCAGCACAGGGGCCATATGCAGTCTCTTTCCTGTCTGTTCCAGCAGACAATGGGTTACGCACCAGCTTCCAGCAGCCACAACAATAGTCTTCAAGATGCAGAAGGAGGCTAGTAAGGGACAGAGGATCTGCACCGGTGTGTGTGGGGTTTCTGCCCTACTGCAGGGGTTGTACCTCTGCGCTCCACCACTTGTAGGCTCTGCCTGGTGTTTGAGAAGGAGTCCCCGTAGGAACAAATTCCATGCTGATGCCACCACCCTCTCTGCTTGGGGGCGGGGGGGGAGGGGTTGATGGGGAGGCTGAGGGTTGCATGGACGGGGGCCAGTGGAGTTGCCAGGACCCAAAGCGATGTAGCCCTGGTCAGGTCTGCAACCATGGCCTCCTCTCCCCCAACCCTGCACTTGTTGGCAGGGGGAAGCCCAGGGGCCACAGAATGGCCCTGCTGGAGCTGGGTTTGTTGCCATGCCCCCCTCCACTCTCCCTGCTCAAAGGGGAGGGGGTGGAGGTCAGGTGGTGCTGCTATGGCTGCCGGGGAGGGTCCTGGCTCTGTTTTCCTGGGCTGCCCTGCCCTGCCCTGCCCGAAACAGCTCTAGGAAAACTGCTCTTCCCCATCCTTTGCCCCACAAACTCTTGAACTGGTTGGCAGCCTTTTGCATTTATGCAAGTATATTTTGTATGAGAAGCCCTGAGAGGTGTATTTCTTTCCTCAAGTATGAGGATTTCATAGTGAGGTCTTATGCTACATATGGTGGGGTAGAATGGTTAAGGTATAACAGAGGATTTAAATAGAGGGTGGCAGAGGCAACTGGAATAAAATAGACCAGGAACTTTGGCTGGACGTATGACTCCTTATCATGCTGCCCAGCTGGCATTCACAGACAGTGGGTTGCCAGTGACAAAACCTCATTTTCAAAATATGCATACGAAAGTCAATGTGTACTTTGAATTGATGATAGGAAATGGGTTTTTTTTGTACCAAAGGCAGGTATAAGTACTGCTGTAGGATGTGGGGGGGGGGGGGGGGGGGGGGGGGGGGGGAGTTTGGGCCCCCCCCTTTTTGGGGGGGTGAAGGGCAGTTCTAACAGGGCTGTGGGAAAGGGAATCTGCAAGGTCCCAGTTCTTCAAGAGATGCTACACAGGGAGGCAGTAACCACAGAAAAGGCTCTTTCACCAATTAAGATACAGGGTTATGGAATTTGTTACTGGACTACTCCAT